AGCCGTCATAGTCTATTTTCCTAACTGATCTGATTTAGATCTGGTGACTAGTCTAGTGATACAAGTAAAAGTAAAAGTTTCTCCAATGAAAATTGAAATGACTTCATACTTGATGCTTATAATTAAACAAAAAACTTAAGCCAAGGCCTAAACACTAACTAAAAAGTAAACACTGATTGTATACATTACATTACTATTACCCTCCACAATATAGAAACTTTTGCTCATTCATATTTTTATATATTTAGTTTAGTTAGTAGTAGTAGTAGTAGTAGTAGTAGTAGTAGTAGTAGTATTTTGACAATTTTTTAAGTGTTGACTCTTCATATTAAATTACTCATATATCAGTAGCTCAAACCATATTCAATGCTGATACTAACTAACAAAATTTAAAGCTATTAAGATAAATTTGCAAACTCCGGTAAATATAGTTTATTAACTATTAGTTTTAAAAGTCTTGAAGTTTTTCTCTGTTAACAACTTGATAAGGAAGAAGACATGACAGCGGAAATGTCTATTGGTATTTAAATTATTAACAGAAAAAAAAACTTCGCAGTAAGTTAGGCTACGTACACGATACTCACTTTCTAAAATATATTATGCTATGCCTAATAATACTATTATTAATTTAAGGCTATATTAATGCAGATGCTTATTCGTGTCAAGTTGTTTTTTAAAACTGTAGTATGTCAGTTTACCAGATTTGGTATTTGAACCGCGATTTTGGGCGATGGAGGAAAGTGGGGTGTAAATACCATTCTTGTAGAGACTAGAGTCTAGAGACCGACCGAACTTCGGTTTCGGCTTTGGTGCCGAAAGTTGCAATCAAATTACTTTCGTTGTAGTTTAGGTTTCGGTCGAAACAGAAGAGTTAAGTTTTTGTTTATTTTCGGTTTCAGTCGAAACAGAAAAGTTAGTTTAGGTTTATTTTTGGTTTCGGTCGAAAGTTATTGAGGTCTTGGGTCTTCTACCAGATGTCAAATTGTCACCATGTCTGTCGGCAGGCAATTCAATATTCATAATTCATTATTTCTCTCCTCTTGCTATTATCCTATGATATATAACAAATCCTTTGTGAACAATGTTCACAGCTGCATGATGAGTTACTTGTCCATTATTTCCAAAAATTAAATTTCAATAAGGCAACGGTAAAAGCTTATGTGAAAGAAAAAAAAACCTAGGGAAATGGTAATATGTTTATCAGGCTTGCACAACATATGGCCCGCCAGCACCCACTTTGCGGCCCGCGAAGTTACGAAATATTATTTATTTTTATTTTCTTAATAGCTTTCCTCCTTGTCCTATTTTCTTTCAGCCCGCACACGTGATCCATAGAGTATTACAGCGCGCTTTACATTTTGAGTTGTCAGGCTTGATTTTTATTATTATTTTTGTTTAATTTTTAAAAAATTGTGATCCAGCCATTCTATAGAATGCCTAGAGTCAAAGTGTCAAATACATAATGCATTACACACGTTGCTTTGGCATTCTATAGAATGGCTGATTTGCATACTTTGATTGTAACATTAAGATTACAGAATATTATTTCTCCCATATGGATTGTGGTCGAGAGCCATACATGGTAAAGATACAAAAAATGGTACAATTTATTTGTTCCGTCCGGTGATGTGTGGGTGTGTGTGTGTGCTGACAAGCTAAAAGGGTGAACTTTTAAAGGGAGATGGTAAATTGAATATTTCAAAGTTAATCCCGACCAATTTGAATGGTAAAACAGGGATTAGTATGTCCAAATAAGTTCGTTAGACTAAAACAAAAGTAGTTTTTAGCTTACCGAGATTGTCAAAATGACAATGCAACAAACAAACAAAAAGGGGAGGGGGGCCTCTTCCTTGGGTAAATTGTATGAGAGTCACTTAAGACTACAAATTTGCCACAAACGTTGTTAAGTCAATCTTCGCAGTGTGCAGAGTCTGTGCGAAAACGATTTTTGAAATATTTAAATCTTTCGGTTTCGGCCGAAGATCATTTTTTTAACGTTTGGTCTGGTTTCGGTTTCGGCCGAAGATCATTTTTTTAACGTTTGGTCTGGTTTCGGTTTCGGCCGAAGATCATTTTTTTAACGTTCGGTCTGGTTTCGGTTTCGGCCGAAATAAGAAAGTCCTTCCTTGGTTTATATATATATATATATATATATATATATTTAATCTAGGCTATTAAATTAACGTATATTCGGTCGAATATCATGATAAGAACTTTGGAATTATGACATCTGTGGGAGTCCTTCAGTTTGTCGCTCCTCTTCCTCAAAATATATAAAGCAATATATATATATGACATCCTTCCGTCTTCCAGAGACGATGTAGTAGATGTGTATGACTACACTTCGACGAGTGATTCACTGGACCAATTCTGGAATGACAATCTCGGCTGCATTTCTCGCAGGCGATTAATCCCTGGCTAGATTTGGCCTCCCGTCTTGTTATTTTTGTTGCAATGGGCTTCGTTTCGCGCATCTTCTGCCTTTTTGACTCCTTCATATTACTGTTCACCAACTGGAACGTTGTCTGGCAATGAACTCCCATTTGTTGATTTCAATGTTGGCTTCCCTCATGGTCCTTTTGCAAACCTCCGTAAATCTCAGGCTTGGCCATCCAATAAGTCTTAACCCTTCTGCCAACTCTCCAAACAGCAGCATCTTTGGGATACGGCCTTCCTCCATTCTCCTTACATGGTCTAACCAGCGGAGGACCTCCTCTTACTAAGAGCGAACAATATGCTAAATATTTTTGCACGTTCCAAGACCGCTGTGTTTGGCCCCTTGTCCTGCCATTGAATGCGTAAAATGCGACGCAGACATCTTTGAGGGAAGCTGTTCAGTTTCCGCTCATAACTGGTATATATTATTTATGTGGTCCACACTTCACTGCCATATGGTAGAGTACTAAGCACATATGCCTGATATACACTTATTTTTTTTTATCCATTACATTGAGATTATTCCACACTCGCTTATTCAGTTTAGCCATAGCTGCTGCTGCTTTTGCTATCCTGATGTTTATCTCTTCACCAATGGAGAGAGAACAAGAAATATTGGATCCAAGCTATGTGAAATGCTCAACAACCGACAGATTATGGCCCTCAATCAATAAATAATATGATTGCAGGTGACGATGCTTCTTGCATCATCGACATGTGTTTTCTGTAGTCTAATTGACAGTACAAACTCTTTACTGTGATAGACGATTCACTAGCCGCTGAAGACCTTCTTCTCTGTAAGATGTTAAGTCAACATCGTCAGCGAACAGCAGTTCATCAATAAGTAACTTTTTTTTTACCTTTGTCTTTGCACGAAGGCGGGCGATATTGAATAGACTACCATCAGATTTGGCATGGATGTACACTCCACGCTGCGCCCCCCCCCCCTCATGATTTCAGAACATTTCCCGCAACCTCATCTCGATTTCAAAATCTATTTCCCGCAGCCCCGCGATAATAATTTTTAATGGGAGCTACTTCCAACACCCCCTCCCCCCGACGTTGCCTCGCGCACCATTAGAAGTGTGGGCACCCCTGGTTAAGAAACCTTGCAGTAGAAGATGTAATTTGGTTTCAGGGGTTGTCCGTTGCGTTGGAAGAGGGGGGGGGGGAATAAGGACCAGGGGGGTGGTTTAACATGGTGCGGGAAAGATGTAATTTGGTTTCAGGGGTTGTCCGTTGCGTTGGAAGAGGGGGGGGGGGGGAATAAGGACCAGAGGGTTGGTTTAACATGGTGCGGTAAACTGCGGTGACTAGACGTCCTTTTTTTACCCGAGATAGTCCCTATTTTCGCATCACCGGTCCCAGCGTCGCTGAATGGTCAGGACATGCCCCAGCTTGTGCGTTTTCTGACAAACGGCAAACTTTTCCCTACTCCCATTCTGATTCCAAAGTCATACATTCTGCCAATCCTGACGTCAGACAGTTAGTCGACCTTCTTCTGAGTCTGACACTTACTGTCAGTAGGCTATCGGGTGCTAAAATCACAGGGTGGTTCTCAGTGGCGTAGCTAGGGGAGAAGGGTCCAAATTCGAAAGTCCCCCCGGGCCCCTACTTGAGGGGGGCCCCCAAAGGAGTGACCGAAATATTTTCTACATTAAATAATGTCGAATGTCAAAATCCAGGGGCCCCCAAAGAGGCCAAGCCCCCCGGGCTCCCAAAGCCCTAGCTACGCCCCTGGTGGTACCGGTGACACTCTGTCTGGTGGCGCCATGATGTTGTATTTAATTTATAAAATATTATGTGATGAAACCGACTCGAGTTAGCTCTATCATATTTGCAATGTTCTATTTGGTGTCACGCCACAATTAGGGTGTTATCCGGTGCGGCCTTCACCCCCTCACCTACGCATGTCCTGGGTGATGTCATTGGTTACACATGAGTGGAATTCCTTTCCCATTGAATTAAATGAGATGGGTAGTTGGAGGTGGAAAACCGTCAGTTTTGACACATGATGAAATTTATTAAACTTGGATTATGTGGAAAAGCAGAAAAGCTAATGTGAAATGGGGGGGAGGAGGGAATATAGAGATATGATATGCGAGATGATAGAATAAAAAGTAGACCTACTGAGGAAGGATATGGATTAGAAAATGTACTCTCACTTTAATGTTCTAAAATTTCCTTATTATGTTAATGTATTTTTTTAAATTTAAAAAATGAAGCAGCTAGTAAAAGAGAAAAAAAACACCATTTGATGAAATGAGGCCTAATATTAATTCTTTAATGAATTATAAATTGTAAAATATAAGTGCTTTTTTTTTTCAACGACGACCACGAACATTCATGACAATATTGACATTGACATGTTCATGACAGTGACCACCCAGGGCTAGAACGCCTAATTGAAGGCCGTGCAAAGGGTTTGTTGGCTCAAAAGGTTCTATATGAAATTTCGGACCGTTTTTTTAATACTTTATATAATTTTATTCAAATTCTTTAACAAAATTAAAAATAAAAATAAACGACATATAGTCTATCCGTTTGTGAATTTTTTTACATGTCGCGACATAGAGTATACCGGAACCACTGAAACTACGTACGACGTGAGAGGGCGAGAAGTCCTCTAAAATCCAGCGATTCATTTGTTGTGGATAGATTTAAGAATTCAGGTGGGCCAAACAGGATTGCATTAAATGATTTTTTTTAAATTTGAATACATGTGTAATATTAATTATAACAAAGCGATGCTGCAGCTTAATTTTTTTTTTGGTTGAGATTTACAGACGAACAATGGCATTGAATTGTATACAACCCGGTGTACGTGACTACTTTACAATCACCACGACTTCTATTCTCGACTGAAGTCCAATCAATGTGAATCAATGTCAATGATTTGTTTATTTATATAGCCTAAACTAATGATTTAAATAAGGAAGTAGTTAAATGGGTACATGACCGTAGATTAGGTCCTGTTAATATTAAATTTGTGCTTTCTTAACTCTAAAAAAAAAACAATTCACAATTTGTCATGACTGTCCTTGGGCCTTGTTCTTGTTATTTTAAATTAAAATTTAAAAAAATTAGGCTAATAGTGTAAATCTAATTCTAAATCTAGGCCTAAATCAAATTTCTGACTAGTGTAACCAAGCCCTAAGCCTGCCTACTTGCTCTTTACTTAATAAGACTTAACTCTTTATTTGGTAATCTACCACTTGAGCATCGGCCAAGAAAAAATCCAGCTGTTCTGGTTGGAAGGGCTATTTTAATGTTTGAAAATGGAATTATGCATAGTTCCCCCACAAGGCGACAATGAAGTTTTAAAAAATATAAGTTCCACGAAATCGGTTGTGGTACATGAATTCACGTATATATGAAGGGGAAAGAATCACGGCTTGTGCCAAACTGTCTTTTCAGTTTACGCTTTTTGAGCATCCACGTTTTCCACATTCTGTGTGTGAAAATCCGTGTCATCTTGATTAAAAAAAATAATAATTTTGTTAATGCACCATCTTAGATGCTGAATAAGGGATCTGACAAATTCAGCAGTTGTGTGGACAGCCCCCATTCTTCATTTCGTATCTGATCTGTATCAAACATTTCGGACATCGGCACTTTTGTAGTCTCTTTTTCTTCCTGGCATATCGGTAGCTTGGCAGTAATAATTATTTAAATGTATTATTATTGTGCTATATAACTTAATAGCCTAAAGGGAAGCAAAAATATTAACGAACTCCAATGTAAGAATAGTTGTTTAAATAGCCCTTGCAAACGAAACAACTTGATTTTTTCTTGGCCGACGCTCAAGTGGTAGATTACCCTTTATTTTATTATGGTTCCATCCCATGCCCATACTGGCCATACTATAATAATACTATTTAATGATAATGGCATTCACTGAATGATTAAGCTATGTAAAATATAAACAGACTTTGGGTACCGATGCAGTCAGCAGGGGCAGGATGTGGGTGACACCTTGATTCACTTAGTACTTAGTCACCACTCGTCCATCCTCACCTTACTTTTGACCTCTTGCTAAGTATAAGTATAGTCAGAGTATGGTTTGATTTTGGGTAAGCGGTAAGGCTGACGATGTGTTCCACGGCCACGGTTTATAGATCACGGAGGTTCGTCCACTTCCGTTTACAGCGCTGTACTAAAAAGATTTTGATGTTTGTATTCACATAATGCACGTTATTGTTTTCTTATTTATTTTTTTTTAAATTGGGGAGGGGTCCAGAGGATTTCTTTGTTTCTTATTTTGGTATTTAAAGTGGGGGAAGGGGATCTCCTTCCCCATCCCTCAAAAGATCATTCCAAATGCAATGAAAGCAGCAGTCTCCCTTTTGTTACCGAAGGTTCAACATACAGGTATTTTGATTTTCAACGAATGACTAATCAAAATACAGCACTTTTGGCGCATCTTTTTTTCCACCTGTGTTGGGTCTGGGGGTATCAGCAAGGATGTTTTTATTTTTTCCTTTCTTTTGAAACGTGTGAATTTCAATACAAATTAATGCAAAGTTTCATTATAATAATAATATACTCATATTAATCATATCACTTATGACGCAAGTAAAGAACAGGAGTGTTATCACACACCTCGTTCAAGACCTACAATTAATTGGTCTATTCAACTGAAGTCCAGTGTTGAGATTCCCCAAAGTGAAAGTGACATCACTGTGCTTAGGGTGAGACAACTCTCAGCAAAACCCTTACCGTTACCCCAAAATTTACAGTAGAGTACAATATAAATATTGAAGTGTCTACATGTCCGGCGCGCCGGACAAATAGTACGCGAGATATACGCCCGGCGGCATGTCACGTGACCGCCGAACGGCTAGTAGTTGTTATTATTCCGAAATACAATTTGGGAGATGTTGTGTGGTCTTGTGGTAGAGTGGTCGCTTGGCGTTATTATGATTTGAGGATCAATACCTGGTGCAGGATCTTTTTTTTCCCCCATTTTAATTAAAAATATTTTATACTATATTTATATTATCATGTTCGTTCATCAGCAACAGTAGTTTCTTGAGAAATTTTAAAATATTTTGTAGCAATTTAAACAATTTAAAATGAAATCTTTTACTTTTATTGGTGCTCCTACTCTAAACTGGCCCCTAATTTATTTTATGGATTACTGATACACAAACTCAAATAAATAACAAACTAAACAAAAATGTTTACAAGCCACTTTCACTTCAGTTTTTTTCTACTATTTGCATTCAAGATACTCAGTACATTACTTGGTAGAGAAATAGATTTTAAAATTAACTATAGTTTTGAATCATTCGCAGTCACGTGACAAGGCTGACCAACGAGACATCTCTCGCCACTTTGTTACGGCGGTCATGTGACTTAGTCGCCGGACAAAGATATGCGGGAGATATACGTCCGGCGCGCCGGACGTGTAGGCACTGCCTATAAATATTAGTATACTGACTATATTATTGTCTATATTATTAGCCTAATAATAATAATAGTTTTATAATAGTAGGATTAATCCATATAACTTATAAATAATGATTCATTATATAATAAATATGGGCCTACCAAATTTTTATTTTATTAGTTCTCTTTCTTTCATTATATTTTGTTTTAAATTTATGTAATTAGAAGTGTACCGGTACTGAATAATAAGACTTAAGTCACTTGTTAAAGTGTTGGCTTATTTCCAATAGTAAGAATTGGCTATTTAAAAGTATTTAGCTTTATGTCTTCCATTGTTGATTGATGGTTTTTGAAAGTGGTACATGTTCATAAATTTCTATGTATGGCTGAACTGGGCTGCCATTTTCTTTCCCTTTTGGTACTAGGTCAAGGCATTTATTTATATTGAGGAATATTCATATCATCATCTTAGACATCTGTTAGTTCCGATTCCTTCACTTATTAAATGTGTGTTATCATCATTATTCAGATCTAGTGTCCATTTGAGCATGTGCCCTTCGGCCTAAATGTGTGTTAAATCGGAGCTCAGCAACCTTTTTTCCCCATGGGCCACATCCCCAGCATACCTCAAGTAAAATTAAAACCATGCAAAAAATATTCTTAACATAACATAGTTAACATTCATAAAGGCGTTTAATGCTAAAAGGTATAATGTTCCAGTGTATTGCTCTCTGTTAATTGTCTGTATTTGACATTTTCTGTCAACCCAGAGTTTGACAGCTTGTATTACTTGTAAACACTGTCTCCTTTGCCTTTGTAGCAGTACAGTTTATAGATGTAATTACATATACCTTCTGCTTTTCCTCCTCTTGGGAGAATTTTTGCACCTGGCATCAACTCACAGTACACCTGTTCCAGAGCCCTGAATTAAATTAAATTACATTGGCATGTTGTTGAATGAATTAGCTGCATGAGAGCCACCTTCTGATTCCCCTGTCAGTTATCAATTGAGTGGAACAGGTGAACTTAACCGGCAAAATATCACTATGGCCTGTTCGTTCAGTGGAAAAAAAAAAAGATCAAATTTATCATTTAGAATAACTGAAAATGCTGTAATTCAAAGTAAAACAAAAACATGAATGCTGAATTCGAAGTGCTAGTCATCTTTACAGAAAACATAGCTTTTGTGAAAAAGTGTTCTTATTATACCAGGACTCGGTTCTTTTCATTGACAGGATCCAGGTATTTCCGGGTGTGTGATACTCAGAATTTCTTAGTGAACACCAGATCAGCTCTCATTCATTGTTCTATGAACTGGGAGCAATATTCTATAAAATGTTTTAATTACCAAGTACATGTTTCTTTCCATTTTTTAGCATGAGCAACCATTTACTTCGCGCAGGCCTTCGAGCTGCAGTTGTTCCCCAGCGTATGATTAGCTCATCTGCTGTTTATTCCAAGAATATAGTTTTAGATCAAAAACTTAGAGATGAAATTCATCCAAAAATAGGTAGGCACTTGTTTTTACATGCATAAAATGTTCCTGTTTTATACTTTTTCTTTTGACTAATAAAAATCTTAAGCTATCAGATTTTATTAAGGGCTCTTCCAGAAATTGCTGAAGTCAACTATTTTGTATTAATTATTTTTGACTACAAATAGTATTTCTTTGGTCTCAAAAGGATATTTAATTTTACCATTTTGTAAACATCAGATATTTTCAAATAATTATTGGTTTCAGCACAAATAATATTCTTCTAAGATTTCCTTATTCCAAAAAAGTTAAACTATGAAATGAAAAACATCAAAGCCTTCATCAAACAGATATATTTCATTCAAATGAAATCATTATGTTTAATCCTTAATGTGAGGAGCAGTATTTTGTTCAACTTAAGATGTGAGTTTTAAATAAATCTTCGCTCAAAGTTATTACACCAGATGAAGGTTCTTGGATTTATATCTATTTTTGTCAGGTATCAATCCCAAAAACCTCAGAACAAAATATATCATTCTTTAGAGCTCTTGTATGTATGCATTTTAAATTTTAAGTTTAAGAACTAAAAGAAGGATGAATATTTTATTTGGTCAAGTCATTATAAATTAAATGTTGCATGATTTTACTGTTTCTTTACATTGGCTGATTCTTTAGTTACTTTTTTTTATTTATGTCAGGTAACAGAGAAATTGTTGGGTTTGGTATCAATGGCATGGCAACATATGTGGACAGGTGTGAATTTCCTTGCCCAGCAATCAGATTTAAGGAGGACACTCCAGATGTTATAAAACTCAGAGAGTTAGAGAAAGGAGACTGGAAAAAACTGAAATTGGAGGATAAAAAAGCATGTCAGTATACGAAGGACACAACCCCCCCTCCCCCTATTTACTTTATCTAATTGTTTTAATATACATTAGAGAGTTAACTAATATTGATAAGTCCATTACTCGAGGTTGATGTGAACTTTTATAAGTATTTTTATCTGTTTGTACTGTCCAGTATACAGAGCCAGCTTTTGCCAAACTTTCAGCGAGATCAATGCCCCCACTGGAGACTGGAAAAGTTTGGTTTCTACAGTTATTTTCGGTCTTGCAGCTACAGGCTGGATTATGTTTTTCGTAAGGAAATTTGGTGAGCACGTCATGAATATTATTAAATGTGTTGCTTTGAAATAAATAATTAGACATGTTAAATAGTAAGATGTACAGAGTAGAACTATAGGCTTAATATATAGATGTGATGAGTTATAAAATATCAAAATATAGCATATCATCCTTTTGAAAATTTCTCTTTGGTTTGGAAATATTTTAAATTAATTTCTCTTTTGTTTTTGGGTTCAATCGTGCATAGTTTTAAAAAAATTATGCTTCTCATGTTTTGCATGTAAATATCCTTGCATTATTTTATTGTACAAAGTATTGTACGGTTTTAATTAAATTTTAAAATTATTTTCCAGTGTACCCACCACCAGCCAAATCACTTACCATTGAGTGGCAAGAAGCTTCACTCCAGAGAATGTTGGACCAAGGACAGGGAATTGTTTCAGGTGTCTCCTCTAAATGGGATTACGATAAGCTAGAGTGGAAGAAATAAACCACTTGTTCTTACAGACTAAAATGGGTGATATGTCAACCAAGTGTCACATTCAACAGTTTCTGAATATTACAATTGCTGGAGGTTTTCAGTGTTTTGTTTTTTTCTATTTATTTATGACAAAGAGTAGTAGTTGCTGTTAACTGATGCATGGGAAATTAGAGTGATTTTTCTTGTTGGTGGTCATGTTTTAGACCTTCAGTTATCTTTTGAATAAGATGTAGTTTTAAAAAAAAACTAGCTAATCAATCATCTTGTTATTTCAGCAAATTAAACATATCCTTTTTTCCAATCCGTTTTAATTTTTGAACGGGAAGTCTTAGCATTATGTGTCAGGTTTATTATTTCTATGTGATTGCATAGAGCCACATAGGTTTTTGTTTGACTATCACAATAAGTTCATCACTTAATTTTTACCAGCCTCAGCTTAAAGTAAAATTGGCATCTTCTAAACATTTCCCACAACTCAAAAGTAATGGGTCCTACTTACAGTTTACAGTTAATGTTGAATAATGTGCTTTCATAGGGTTGACAGGTGATAACTATGCACTCAAGACATTTGGTGGGACATTTCATTATCAAAAATGCCATTACTAGTAATACTAGTGAATTTAAATAAATAAACTTTGTGTTAACAAAATTATTCAATTTCTTGTTTAAATGTATGTGTGGCAGAAAAGGTGATGTAGTGTTTCTATGTTGAGTCATTTGGAACAAGTTTATATCCAAAATCGCAAAACAACAAATAGAAGGAAAAAAATCTTTTAATGTACATTTTATATTTATTGTCTAAACAGAATATCAAATCTGAACTAACAATTTAACACAAATCATAATCTTTCAACTATTTTGTTTGTTTTGTCCTACAGACAACATTCAAAATCATCACAATAAGAACTGTTATAAAAATGAACAGAGAAGTGATTAGTAAATTAGATGACTTAGGGGTTGTTGGTAAAGGGCAGGCACAAAGACGTTACTAAAAACTTATGTGGGAGATTACTATTTTTATTTATAAATATGAGTTAGGGCTTTTTACAAACTTTCTTTAATTTTCATTTAATAGAATGGTTTATATTATCAAACTTATTTAGAACTTTAAAACATTATACACCTTGACATTTCACATCATTTGTTTAATAGTGGGTGTGTGTGTGTGAGCCACATGCAGATAAGTGTAGTAATAATATAATAATTTGTCTATATATTCAACAGCTAGACAATTTGAGCTAAAAGCCACACACAAAAAAAAGTTATCAATTTGACTATCAGAACTTTATTCAAATAGCAGTAATAGGATTTGAACATCATGCAGCATAGTGGCTGTTGCAAATTCAAAGTTAAAATATCTAACCACATTGGGTATAAAAAAAAAATCGAAGGTGATAAAACTCATAATACTACTACTCATAAACTTTAATAAGTATGTATCAACAAAAGAAGTGTGGGATGATCAGGTGGTAGCTTACTTAAATAATAATTGTTAACAAAGAAGATTGGGTGGATCTAACTGCAACCTTAGCCATTTTATTACCATAAGCTTTACAAATCACCTCACAGGAAATAATATTTTAACCCTAAATCATACAATTTTTAACAAGGGTAATTATATTATTACTGACACACTCGTAAACATATATTTATGGATAAATTATGTCATTTTGCCCACAATTCGCTTGTGCCAAAAGTAGTGAGTAAGAATAGTAAGATAAAAAAAAGCGTCAAATTGAAACCCCAACAGCCTCTCATCAAAATTGGATGGTTTGACCTCTGGGAATGTTATTTTAAAGCTCACATCTTTGAAGACATTTTCTGGTTTCAAGACAAAATTTGTTTCCACCATGTGGAAAATTCATTGATATTGCCATTTACTCTGTACAGTGATCACTAGTTACGAAGATATGTCTTTTGAGTTCTCTAAAATGCTAATCCCTCATACTGTCCAGCAGTTTCTGGATTGTCAAGTTTGTGCTGTAAGTGCTCCAGTGTGTTTTTGAAATGTTTGTTGATTTGTTCTGTTTCCTCATTTGATTCCAGATTTGGTAACAGCTCTCTTATTTTTGAAATAATCTGATTTAAAACTTGAACTGAAATCTAAAGGTAAAGAGAGAAAAAGAATTTAAATATTTTTAGTTTCAAAACAGTAATTTACTAATACATAATTACACAGCAGATCACATAAGGCATCAGTGGTCAACAAACGTGTCTAGAAGCGGCATGCAGATCTCGAAGGAAAAGACCTGTCTCTTTTTTTGTTTGTCACTAATCTATAATGATGTTATCAAAATATTATCTAAGCAGATATCACATATGTATATATATGTAAGTGAAAAGGGTGGAGGGGGGGGGGGGGCGGGTTTAGAACTTTAAAAATATTCTGCTTGGAGCAGGGGCTCAAAATTTTCTTTTTATATAAATGAGCTATATAAATAAAATTATAAACAAATACTTATCTATAATGATGTTATCAAAATATTATCTAAGCAGATATCACATATGTATATATATGTAAGTGAAAAGGGTGGAGGAGGGGGGGGGGCGAGTTTAGAACTTTAAAAATATTCTGCTTGGAGCAGGGGCTCAAAATTTTCTTTTTATATAAATGAGCCATATAAATAAAATTATCAACAAATACTCCTACATGAACGGATGGATTTTGACCAAACTTAGTACACATACAAATGAAAAATGGTTTTAGTTATGGCATTTAGTTGTTGAGTATTTCTTATTTGAAAAATAATTAAAAAGAAAAATAATTTTTCACACATTTCAAGGTTATTAAATTTATCTAGAATGTTCCAGAAAGTTCTATATTATTCCACAGGGATATATAGTGGGAAATGTTAGTTTAGTTCTAGTTGTTTTCGGATGGGGAACAGGATCCCACCCGGCTAATGGATCCTAATCAGTATAGAGATCCCATTGGGAGAGAAGATCCCAATAGTCGGGATCCCACCAGGAAAAGGGATCTCACTGAGAACCGGATTCCCACTGGGAACCGGATTCCATCAGGAAATGGGATCCCAATGAGATGGGATAGAATCCAGGAACGAAAAGTTGAAAATTTTTATAAATTAATATAAATTAGAAAAATTAAAATTATACTTTTTTTACAGGACTGTTTTTCCGAATGCTATCCTGGGCCATACCAGGAATATTGGCTAATAATTTATAAAAATGTCTCCTTATTAAAAAAAAACAACAAAAAAAAAAAAACGGTTTCTAAACCCTGCTTTAGTTTTTCAGTGTTAGCATTTTTTTAACCTCTTTGATTCTATTCCAAAAGGAATGAACTGGAAGAGGATAAAATTATTTTTATCACAAAGGCTATAATCAGAAGGGGTGCTCTAATGGCACCAAAAAATAGCCTAGTAATTTTTAAATCATAGAAAACAATACCAAAGAGAACTTTTAAAATGTGCATGCAATGACACATCTATTTACCTGTTCACAGCCTTTTTCATAAAAGTAAATGTATTGATTAAGTACTTCCACAAACAACTGCACTTGTACTGAACTGTCCATACACTGGTTAGCTATTTTCACACCTTTCTTCAGACAGTCAGAAACCCTTTTGGCATCACGAAGCTGAAGAAAAAATAAAAGATAAAATAAAATTTCTCTGACTAAAACAAGAGTCCATCAAACTTGTTTGTCCATCTTGATTTGCAAAGTAAAAGAAAACTATGTCACTTACTTCGCCACCTTTGGCAGACTTTCCAGACCAGAAGAGATGTGAACTAACAGAAACTCCACGACACTGGTCAGGTTTCTTGAGCAGTTTAGAGGCAGCCAGCGCACACTGTGTAAACAGGGGCTCTTGATTTTCCTCACCAAAACAAGACATCTGTTCCAGAGTTCCAATGATTAGGGTGATGGCGGCAAGCTGAGCTTTACTGTCACTGATTTCATCCTCATAGATGGAGAATGCCTGAAACGTCAAAATTCATAGACCTACTAATTTTGAGATAATTTAAATATGCAGTATCAGTTGGGTACTATACTGATGACAAATTTTAGTATTTTTCTTTGACAACATTCAATAAGATTTTAAATGATTTTTTATTAAAATGTTTAAGTGAAAGTTTCATGAAATGGAACAAGTAAGCCCTGACAGTACTGACAGTGGAGTAAATGTTTCAACATATGAATTATTACTTGACAGAAGTTATGCACAGGTTTTGCAAATTAAATTAACCTTTTTTAATAAAACAACACTAACCACCCCAATATCTAGGGATCAAATTTCATTTCTAATGTTTATAATGTCAACAAGGCATGAGGCTTTCAACATGATATGGGGATTTCAACATAATCAGGCTTTCAACATGGTGTTAGTGTTAGTCTTTAAATATGATATGAATTAATGATGAATATGACTATGAGGCTCTCACCATGATGTGAGGCATTATAACACCTGTGAAAATATTATTTAAACCAAAGCTTTAGTAACTACTAATCCTACAAGCCTTATTCAATTTAAGTGATCATATCAATAGATCAGGATACAGTGATGATTTCATCGGCATTCATATATTTTCTGCACTGCACTCTGTAAATGTTTATCTAATTCCTACTGATTTAAATTCTCAATCATTTAAGAAAAATACGCATAATTTTTTACTTGAGTTAGAAACTCGTAAGCGACTGTCTCAGAATTCTCAAATCCAATTTGGCCAGCCACCAATGATCCTTGTAAGAACAGCCTTAAGGGAATCTCTGCTTGTTCAGCCTTGATGAGGGCTCCAATCGTCTGGTGACAAAACTGGAAAATCTTCTGGCATTTTTTCTCCCAGTTTTCATCCTGGTTAATAAATAGGAACAAACCATTTTTAAAAAAAACTCTTTTGTTCTGCTAGACAAGAGCACATTTTTTCATTTTTAAAGAGGCTATTTTAACTAACTTTAATGCATATAACAATTCAATTGAAATTTTAAAAATCACCAAAGTTTTGGTTGTTATCTGAAGAAAGTTAAATCTATAACTGACATGCAAAATGGAAGATCCAAAGATCATTTCCATTAGAACAACACAATAATTATTGTTTATAGTATAGGTCGCCATAGTTACCTCCTCCTGTAACTGCTTGTATCTGAAAGCAAGCCTGTAAGCAGCAAACACAATGGGAGGTAATGTGAATTTAATTCGCTTGTCTCCTCCTGCGCCAAAGTGTTTTCGAGCTGTATTAAGGATCTGCATGAATGTATTAAGATAAGATCACTTCATGAGCAGTAAATTACATGTGAAGCGCTATATGAAATGTATTACAAGTACTTTTTCTCATAAACTTGCATATTGTTTTGACACTTTTACTACCGGTAGTAGTTTTAATCCTCACTATTTTAATCATTTTACAAAACACACAAAAACAATCCAAGAAATTTTTTTTTTTTAAATACCAGAAACTGCTGGTTTGAATCTTCTGATTGGAGCAAATGGATGAACCTTCCCATAAGGCCTTGCTCTTCTGCAAAATCCTCAGGATCATAAGGTTCCTCTGGTTGATCATTTTGGTCTTGCACCAAACAATTTACAATGTTTAAGATTGAGTCAACCTGGTCAAAATAAAATGTTTACACATAGTTACCAGCTGGTCTAGGAGGTAAGTCCTTGTCCTTTCTTACTTCATGCATAGGATATGATAAAATAAAACTACACATGCCTACATTTTATTAGTCCACCATAAACTGACAGAAACTCCTGCGAAATCCATGTATATTAGACAATACTCTAAAAAAAGTACTATCCCTAACTCAGCACTATCACTAAATACTAGTAACAATCACTCATTTGCAAGGGACAATCCCAACATTCCCTTTGTGACTCAGTTATGATCTACATACTCTCAAAAACAATCATCTAGGCTGGATTTATATGTATCTATTAAAATCATCCCTGTATTAAAATAGGTATAAAATATATGAATTTACCGAATTATTTAGAAAAACAACATAAAACCAAATTTTTAATGAATATTTAGAATGTATATGAAATGTTAAACTCGTGCGGAGATACTGATCTTCCATCGAGCGCCTCCCCAGGTGGCGGATAGGGGAAAGCCCACCAGATATGGAGGGTACCAGGGAAATAAAATACCTGGGGCGGACCAAAATCAGAACCTACTGCCTTGTAGGCAGTGGAGGGATCCACAAAGGCTAGGGAACCTTACCCAAAAACTAAGGCAGCTATCCAGAGAGCTGTAAGGGGCAACCCCCCAGACGGTTGTGCGCAGGGTTAACAACCCGGCCACGTAAAAAAATCAACGTTACGAAAGCCAATCAACAGAAGAAAACCCGGACTGTTACCAATGGAAATCGACCTATGCATGGATTTGGACATGATTTTTGGATTGCGACTTGGAATGTACTAAGCCTGTTTAGAGCAGGAGCCTTAGCCAACCTTGTAAATCAGCTGGTCAAAAATAAAATATCTATTGCTGCATTGCAAGAAATTTGATGGAAACATTCAGACATCCTGAAAACAAAAGAATACACCATATTTTATAGGTGGTAGCTACCCCAACAAAAGGGATGTCGGTTAGCAGCAGCAAGTTTCCGCACAAAAATATACATAAAGCTACGTGGAACTCACCAGATGGAATCACCCACAATCAAATCGATCATGTTTTAATAGATCGGAGAAATGGATCAGATATATTAGATGTGAGAAGCCTTAGAGGAGCAGATGTGGACTCGGACCATCTACTTGTAAGGGTGAAATATAGGCAGAGGATAAGCTTAATTCACAATGGTAGCAATCAAAGAGAGAAACGATACGATTACCAAAAGCTGCCCAAAGACCCATTAACTGCAAAAGCTTACCAGAATGAAGTAGAAGCACAATTAGAAGCATCACAGGAGGAAGTAAACGGGGAAAACAACATAAATGATCAGTGGGATAGGATAAAAAATGCCATTAAAAGATCAGCAGAAAAAGTAGTGGGATTTCAGCAAAACAACAATAGAGTAGGCTGGTTTGACAATGAATGCAGAGAGACTGTGGAAGAAAGAAACAAAGCACAAATGATCATGTTACAAAGGTGTCACGTTTATATTCACTTACAGTGCACACAGATCACACAATACTAAGTTAACTAACTCTACTATCTATGAACAACAGAGGCGTTGTGGAGTTCAGTGAAAGATAGTGACTATCATTTATTATTAATACACACTCACGAATAAGCAATTACAAATAAAGAATACTTATCATAATCATAACCTCTTCATTATCTTATTAACTAATTAATATATTAATATCATGGACTTAAACTTATAACAACCGCCATGATTCTATCCTCTATCTCTCTCTTCTCATCTGATTGGTCCGTCTTTCCAAGTTCCATACTCTATAAGATATAAGTCCTAATTCTCACCTCTCTTAACCCCCTTAACTCAACTTATCTCTGTGACAAAAGGGAAACCAGAAAGACAACACAAACATACAAGGAAGCCAGAAGGAAAGCAACACAATGTGTAGGAAGAAAAAGAGGAAATAGGAAAAGGATAAACTAAAGGAAATAGAAGATTTATCCAGAGAGGGAAATTTAAGAGGAATGGACATGAAGATAAAAGATGAAAAGAATGGATACCAAGCCAGACCGCAAATGTGTGAGAGCCACAATGGAGAATTAATCACGGAAAATAGTAAAGTACTGGAGAGGTGGGCTGAATATTTTGAGGACATACTGAATGCAGACAATAAACAAGAAGAAGATTATCAACCCCCACAGGGAGGACCAGACACTTTTATACAATGCCCAACCCTAGAAGAAACTAAAGAGGTAATTAATTATATGAAAAATCACAAAGCCACCGGACAAGGCCTTATCACAGCAGAACTGATTAAATATGGAGGAAAAGAACTACAAAATCAGATACATAAACTTATAACTAAAATTTGGCAAGAAGAGAAAATCCCAACAGAATGGGAAACAGCATTAATGACCCCAATACACAAGAAATGCTCCAAACTTCAGTGCACAAACTACAGAGGAATCTCCCTATTAAATGTTACATACAAAATACTGATGAAGCTTATTGCCAAAAGACTACAACCATACACTGAGGAAATACTAGGTGATTACCAATGTGGATTCAGGCCTAACAGATCAACGACTGATCAGATTTTCACCATCAGATGCCTATTAGAGAAATGCTATGAATATAATATACCAGTTCAATAAACTCTATGTGGAATATAAAATGGCCTATATGATAGAATCAAAAGAAACTATTTATATGAGACTCTGCAGGAGTTTGGGAGACCCAACAAACTGACAAGACTAATACATGTAACACTAAACAACTCAAAAAGCAAAAATCAAGATTCAAGGAGAATATTCAAGGGAATTTCATATTAGAGAAGGCCTAAGACAGGGAGACTCACTGTCTTGTATGCTCTTTAACCTAACATTAGAGAGAGTTATTAGAAACATACACATTGACACTCGAGGAACGATAACAGGATACTTTCTGAGGGAAACTCAAGACCCACAACCAACGGGCACACTCTACAACCAACCACTTCAGTATCTTGCATATGCTGATGACATAGCACTTCTAGGGAAAAGTATAAAAGACATATCAAAATCCTTTATTGAATTAGAAGACGCATCTTTACAAGCAGGGCTGGAAGTTAACAACCAAAAAACAAAATACATGACCATGATAAGAGAGGAACAAACAGATGAAACAATTAAAATTAGAAACCAAACTTTTGAAAAAGTAAATCAATTCAAATACCTAGGATCCTTGTTAAATGAAAGAAACGAATTACTAACAGAAATAAAAGAAAGGATATCAGCCGGAAACAGAGCATACTTCAGTAGTCAGAAAATACTCAAAAGTAAAAAATTACAAGATAAACAAAAAAAACTATTTATAAAACTGTGATCAGACCAGTTGTAACATATGCAAGTGAAACTTGGACCCTAACAAAAACAGCAGAAAACCTATTAAAGACATGGGAGAGGAAAGTTCTCAGGAAAATATATGGGCCAGCAAAGGATGAATATGGATGGTGAATAAGAACCAACCAGGAGTTATACAGTCTATATCAGGATCCCATGATAGTGGCAGAAAGACGCTGGGTAAAGACTGGACTGAGTGTCGACAGACAGATCTTTTGGACAGCGAAAGATGCGGTGGCAGAGATTGTACAGAGGGCAAAGGATGACTACTGGAGCTCAAAGGTCGAATCATGTGCATCAACCAAGGCGTTGTTCAGCG